CCCAGACATCCCCGCTCCGTCGCCGTGCATCCGAAGTATGCTAATTTTCGGATTCGTCGCGAATCGAAATTTTCCTAATATTCGAAACGAATTCCACTTCGCCTAGTTCGATTCGCTCATCTCTAGTCATAGGCATACAGGTCATGACAAGTCTAGGGATGGGAACCTGAAAGAGACAGTTTGTGGGTACACCTAGAACCAACACCTCTGCCAGAAGTTAAGTTGTTAGTAGGTCTAGACCCAAGTGTTGTATTATAGAGAAGGTCACATGCTTGCCTAAATCTGGAAACACCAATAACTATAGAAGAAGGAGCAGAGGTAGATCAGTGAGGAGGTAGGTATAAGGTAGTCAGGGATGGACTTTCAACAGACACTGTCACCTTGGCCATTAAGTTTAAGTCTGGTAACCTCCTACCCTTTAACCCCCACTCCTCTCTAGCTAAATATTCTCTGGGCATTAAAAAACCTAACCACCAAAAGCCTTCTTCACTTAGCTGTATTCATGGTTATGTAATGTGACAGGTTCCAAGACTCCTCTCTTCTGAATTATAGAGTGGTAAGGTCCTTCATTTAGTGGCCAATTAGGTTTCAGAAGACTATGGCAACAGGACAAGTAATGAGTAACTTCAAATCTCGTTGATGTGCAAACGATAAAATGGAAAATAAAATTAGGAGAAAGGGATAAAGATAAACAGTAGAATAGCATGGAATAAAAAACAGAAATATTGAAGGGATAGGAAGCTAAATATAGAACCTACAGCTCAGCATCAACCTGCAGAGAGGGACAACCCACTGGGTTTATTTGTGTCCAGCCTATTCTGCCTACTCTACCAACTTCATCAAACTCCTATACCACTTCACACACTTGCATGCATTTGGACAGTTTGGCTATTACTGTAAATGTTGTGGAACCCTGAAAGTGCTGCAGATGTTACCAGGTTTCTCCCACTATAATGCAGAGGTAGCCAGGCACACAGTAGCAGTCCATGCACTCTGGCTAATTGATCAGTCCAAGGGTTTGTCTTTTTATGCATTTTATTGCTTAAGGGAACTGAGAAGGGGAATTTAGGGTGGTGTGGGATACTCCAAATGGCTGGGACAAAGATGTCAGAGGACAATTCTTTAAACAACAACAGCACAATTTTTTTCACTCACAGCTGGAGACCATAAGATATAGGCCAACACAGTAAGACTGGAACAGTCTTCACATTCACAGCTGGGGACCATGAAACAGAATGTAGAACAGATAGGCTAGACCAGGGTCTGCAACTTTTAAGACATAAAGAGCCACTTGGACCCGTTTCCGAAGGGAAAAAAAAGACTGGGAGCCGCAAAACCATTCCAACATTTAAAACAAATCCCAACGTCACCAGGCACTGTACTCGTGGCGAGGCGGAGCTGAACCACGTTGAGTAGCTACGCCGTATAGTAATTCATCCCCCCATATAGTAATTCATCCCCCCTATAGTAATTCATTCCCATATTGTCTCAATTCACTTACCTTTGCTCCGCGCGTTCCTCTCGCTGTGTTCCCGCGCTGTGTTCCGGTCTTCAGGGCGGACTGTGAGAGGAGAGGAGTTCGTCACGCTGCCCCGCCTACATCCTGGCTGCCCCGCCTACATCCTGACAGCCAATGTTCCACGCTCCGCGGGCCGGATTAAAAGAGTCCTGACTTTTGAGGCGGCCGCCCGAGGAGGGAGGGGAGGGCGCCCGGCACACAGAAGAGCCGCATGTGGCTTGCGATCCGCGGCTTGCCGACCACTGAAACCCTATTGCCTGTCACCTGGTGGGCAGTGTGCTCCGGAGCCGCAGCAAAGATGAAAAAGAGCCGCATGCGGCTCTGGAGCCACGGGTTGCCGACACCAGGGCTAGACTGAAACAATCTATAGCAGTGGTCCCCAAACTGCGGCCCGGGGGCCGGATGTGGCCCTTTGCTTGCCTTCATTTAGCCCTTGGGGTACTATTCCTCTTACTGACTCCAACAATGGGGCATAATTCTTGCCGCTGATACCAACAGTGAAGCACTACCCACTGATACCAATGATAGGGCACTATTCCTCCCATTGACACAACCAACAGAAGCATAATTCCCTCCACTGATGCCAATAATGGGGCACTATTCCTCCTACTGACACCAATGATGGGGCACTGTTCCTCCCACTGAAGATGTGGCATTGTTTACTCCCTCTGACACCAGGACATTTTCTACTCCCACTGGCCACAGTCCTGCCCCCCTGAAGTCTGAAGGGCAGTAAACTGGCCCCTTATTTAGAAAGTTTGATGACCCCTGGTTCATAGGTTCACAGCTGGGAGCCATTAAGCAGCTTGTAGAACAGATAGGAGGCTGTACTCACAGAAACCTGAAACAGGATCCATCCATAGGTACAGCTTCTTGTAAGTAGCTCAACATCCAGTCCTGGGGCTCCAGGGGCAGGGAACCCCTCTCCTCCCTTTCTCCTCACTGATCCAACCTCCTCAGGGGTAGAAGTGAAAATCTTCTCAGGGCTCCATACAATTAAACAGCTCTCCCAGCCACCATCTAGGCACGTTTCCCCAGGGATTGGCTGGGCCCTGTTCAATATTCAGGCTGGTCATTTAAATGCTCCCTCCCTAAACTCCAGAAAGGACTTCTAGAGGTAGGGGGAAACAAACTTCCAGCCAGTGCAGCGATATGCAAACCAAAGTAAACAAACATTGCTCCTTTGGCTACAGCAGAGGCAAAAAACTAAATTTGCCTAGCAGCCTAACTAGATGGGTGGTACACCAATAAAATGCACATAATATGAAAGAATAAATAGCATTAAAAGGCTGATCCAAATGAAATAAAATTAAATTTCATATTTTCCTAAGAGTAATTCCAAAAAAATTTTGTTCTTTTATGTCGTCCAAATACACTTTTTTATCCAAACAATGTGCTATTCAAAATGATCAAACTGATCAAATACAATAGAACAGCCATAACTACAACTCTGAATAATTTAGGCTTCATTTATATCAAATTCAATCAAGCTGAGTGGATCATCCAGGGTGGAATATTATTGATGGTTTTGCATCAACTGACAACATTAAGATACTTTGTTCATGAATACAATCGTATTTCAATCAATCAGATTGTGAGATTACATGATGGAAATAGAGATGTGATTGATAATTTATGATTGTAATTTATTATCATATTCCAGGCCCAGACTGGGACAAAAAATAGGTCCGGGCATTCTAGACTGAGCAGCTCCGAGCTCAGGGGCCCTTCCCTTGGAGCCTGCTGGCAGAACATCCCACCTTCGAGACAGAGAAAGGAGATTGGGGTCGGTACTCATCACTGACTGTCCATTCAAACAAGGAAGGGGCAAGTAAATTACCTTTTTACCGGCCCCTTCCCTGTTCTCTATCCTGACAGATCCCCCACAGCAGCTGGCGGGAGAGGGGAGGAGGGAACCTGGCAGTGCTGGTGGGCAGGAGAGGGGCAAGGAGAGAGCACACAAAAGCCCAGAGAGAGGACAGGAGTCCTGGGACAGCAGCAAAGAGATAAATAGGAGGGGGCGACTGGGCAGCATATAGATGAACCGATCCATCCATTACTCTCCTGCAGCCGCTGAATGGCTGCAGGAGAGAGAGGAGGAGAAGTGGGCATTTCAGCGGTGACAGGAGGCAAATGGACAGATAGGTCCCTCTATATGTTGTCCCCACTGCCCCTCCTATCCAGGTGCATGGTGTGCCCTATGGCCAGTCCAAACCTAAACGTATCTTAAATATTGATTGAAATCCACTTCCCTGGCATATCAGTCAAAGGTGTTGTTGACTGTGTTGTTGATATAATTCCTATCAGAAGAAATCAATCATTTACCAAAGTCTGTATGGCCACCATTCATTTTGTACCAGTTTTGGCACTCGGGCTGCAGTTTGGATACCCCTGCATAAGACCAATAGTAAATACAAATAATTATGTATACAAAATATTTAGTTTTATAAACAAGTAAAGAAATTGTAAATACGATCATCTGCCATATGAATTTTTACAGTCTATAAAATCTCTAACTTTTTATCTTTAATAACAATGGAATTATGAGCCTTCAAATCAACATTAGCTTCTCTGCGAGGACTACTGGACAGTCTATCCACCTGCTAATGTCATGATGCCACCACCAGGACAAAGAGGAAAGTACATGGTCAGTGGTCCTCGTTCATGAACAGCTTCCAAAAATGTGTATTTATTTATTTATTTATTACAGGTATTTATATGGTGCTAACAGTTTACACAGTGCTTTACAAACTGCACATTCAGATCAGTCCCTGTCCTCAGGGAGCTTACAATCCAAGGCCCCTACCACATATGTACAATATACTAGGACCAATTTAGATAGGAACCAATGATCCTACCAACATGTCTAAGCAATGTGGGAGGAAACTGGAGTTTCCGGAGGAAACCACACAAGCACAGCGGGGTGTCCTCAGTGGTGTTTGAAATGGGCATCCAAGTCCACCAAGACAGAAGTGCTAACCACTTAACCACTGTGCTCTTTTTTAAAAGTGTTACTAAACCCACAACAGTAAAATCAGTCTGTATATGCAGTAAAGCATGATTGCTATACTCACTGTGGAACCTAAGGGGTTAATCCTCCGTATTGTGTAAAAAGGCTGTTTGATCCTGACTTCTCTGATCCCCCCCTTTTTCTATGTTCCCCAATCCATCTGCTGATAGTACAGAGCTCTAGGAGTGACTCTGCACATGCTCAGTTTAGTATGTATTGCTAGAAAGGTTTTTCTTTCTTTGGGAGAGTGCATGTGATCAGCACAGGGCCAATCTGCACTGTCCAGACAGAGGGTTAGGGGTCATGCAGCCTCATAGGACAGTCAGAGGAGAATGAAAACGCCTCCTATAAAATTAACCATTGCTCAGCTGGATACTGATAGAAGTCACAAGACTGCTCTAATTGCTGGTGAGAAAAGGTATTTAGCAGTTTATATTTACTAAAATAATTACATTTCCATGTTGTGTGTACTGTGGGAGACCAGATATAGTGAATGCAGGGTCCGGGGAGACCAGATATAGTGAATGCAGGGTCCGGGGAGAGCAGATATGGTGAATGCAGGGTTCGGGGAGACCAGATATAGTGAATGCAGGGGAGAGACCAGATATAGTGAATGCAGGGTCCGGGGAGACCAGATATAGTGAATGCAGGGTCCGGGGAGACCAGATATAGTGAATGCAGGGTCCGGGGGAGACCAGATATAGTGAATGCAGGGTCCTGGGAGACCAGATATAGTGAATGCAGGGTCCGGGAGACCAGATATAGTGAATGCAGGGTCCGAGGAGACCAGATATAGTGAATGCAGGGTCCGGGGAGACCAGATATAGAGAATGCAGGGTCCGGGGAGACCAGATATAGTGAATGCAGGGTCCGGGGAGACCAGATATAGTGAATGCAGGGTCCGGGGAGACCAGATATAGTGAATGCAGGGTCCGGGGAGACCAGATATAGTGAATGCAGGGTCCGGGGAGACCAGATATAGTGAATGCATGGTCCTGAGTTTAGTAACACTTTAACCTTATACAAGCAGGACTGTGTTATATGTTTTTGATACATAACTGCATACTAAGGCCACTTTCACATGGGCAGCCAGGGCAGTAAAAACATGAAGCCATCTAAAGTATAAAATATATCCGAAGGATTCTGTTCACATGCTGTGGCAAATTTAGTACAGCATGTTGGGTTGACAGGCATCTTTAAAACATGGCCATGCAAATCAAAGGGGCAACTCCGTAACATTGAGCCAAGTGCATTAACCCCATTGTAAAATATCCCATTATAAAACTGGCAAAAAAAAAAACAGACATTCAGGATGCTTTTCATAACAAGGGCTAGTGTAAACTTTGCCTTATTGTATTATTTTTTATGTATTTGCATTTTTTTTGCCATATCTTTATCATTCACCAGTTTTTGTGCATTTTAGTTTTACAGCCTGAAGGAGATAAGCAGTGTAACGTCTTATCTGTTTAAAATCCAGCTTAAGCCAAAACTATGATTGGTATTATTATTTTTTTTCATGACATGGGGAATGGGTAGAATCCCTATTGTGTTTTTCTTGCTGTCTGCATCCCTGCAAGCAAAGACAGGATGTTATGCGATATTTCTGATATGGGGACATGGGCAACAACAAGAGCACATTTGGAAGTGGGCATTGGTGAGCTTCTGGAAAATGGCAATGATGCAGTTATGGTGACTGTGGAAGTGGATGTTGGTGCAGTTATGGTGAGTGCAGAAGTGGGCATTGGTGTGGATATGGCGAATGTATAAGTGGATGTTGGTGCAATTATAGAAAATGCAAAAGTGGGCATTGGTGAACTTATGGCGAAAGTAGAAGTGGGTGTTGGTGCAGTTATGGCAAATGCAGAAGTGGACATTGGTGCAGTTATGGCGAAAATAGAAGTGGGTGTTGGTGCAGTTTGGCAAATGCAGAAGTGGGCATTGGTGCAATTATGGCAAATGCAGAAGTGGGCATTGGTGTAATTATGGCGAATGTAGACATGGACGTTGGTGCAGTTATAGCAAATATAGAAGTGGATATTGGTGCAATTATGGTGAATGTGGAAGTGGGTGTTGATGCAGTTATGGTAAATGTAAACGTGGGCATTGGTGCAAACATGGCAAATGTAGAAGTGGGCGTTGGTCCAGTTATAGCGAATGTAGACATGGGCGCTAGTGCAATTATGGCAAATGTAGAAGTTGGTGTAGTTATGGTGAATGTAGATATGATCATTGGTACAATTATGGCAAATGTAGACGTGGGTGTTGGTGCAATTATGGTGAATGCGGAAGTGTGTTTTGGTGCAATTATGGCAAATGTAGAAGTGGGGGTCGGTACAGTTATGGCAAATGTAGAAGTGGGTGCAGTTATGGTGAATGTAGAAGTGGGTGTTGGTGCAGTTATGGTGAATGTAGAGGTGGGCGCTGGTGCAATTATGGCAAATGTAGATGTGGGCGTTGGTGCAATTATGGTGAATGTGGAAGTGTATGTTGGTGCAATTATGGCAAATGTATAAGTGAGGGTTGGTACAGTTATGGCGAATGTAGAAGTGGGCATTGGTGCAATTATAATGAATGTACAAGTGGGCATTGGTGCAACTATGGTGAATGTAGCAGAAGTGGGCATAGGTGCAGTTATGCCTAAAGCAGATGTGTTTAGGAATTGCTGAGCTCCATTACAAACAAATGATAGAGGTTCTCCGATCACCAATACCATGGATGAGAAGGTTATATCCTTGAGCAGGTAGGTCTCTGTATGCATCTCAAAGCTTTATTTTCAATTTTGACACAAGGGGAACTCTGTTATAAAAATAACTATTTGTCATGTATAAAAATGGGCAATTAGCTTGTTCAAACTGCTTTGGTACATCTAAGCTGCCCCAAGAGACAGATGGGTTAGATTATTGCCAAGTGGTCTTGTTTTCACTCCTCACAGCCAGCACCAGATATCTTTCGTCCATACCTTCTGACCTTGAGTGGCACAGCTCTGTTCTCAGACATCTGGATAATACATGCTTAGCCATCAATGTCGCTGTCTGCTTAACAAACTGTTTCACAGCCAAGACTTATTGCAGAAGGAAGGTTCTCAAGTGGCACGATATTGATTTCTCTATTAACTGCTATTGCCTCATAATTGGCATAAGAAGTGGCATTAGCAGTCTTATTACTGTCAACAATAGCTGAATACAGACAGACTAGGCTGTTTCCTAGCCCAGCATGAAACAGACAGATGTTGGGCCTTCCTGCATCGCTCTTAGCACCTCCGTATCAATCAATAGGATATTTTTAGGAAATGGATAATCAATGCCTTCTGCGTAAGTTGCAGTCAAGCAATGACCACATGGTCTAGTGGTGTACAATATTAAACTTTTGGCGCTATATAAATCCTGTATAATAATAATAACAACAATATTACGCTTATAAAGCAATATGCAAAGTGCAGAAACACAAGTGACCCAATCAGAAATTATTTTTCAGGAAACTGAAAAAGAATTAGTTGTTGTTTGATTATTGTTTTATTTATATCTTTACTTCGTGATTACAGCCTATGGTCACATGAACCTCCTTACACTGATAACCAAAAGTTCTGGAACAAGCTGGACTTGGCATTCCCATGCCAAGACTTCAGAGTAAGAGCCATACTTACCATCAACATCTTCATGATGGACCAGATCATAGTCACATTCCCATTGTATTTTCCCATGGACCTGCCAGTGGACTTGGAGTCATACGGCCACCTTCTGATCATAGTCACCCCTTCCCAGACCACACTTGATTCCACCCAGTTCCACCCATATCACCATCTTCTGGGCAGTTACACTCAGATCACTCCAAATTAAGCAGAAATAAGCCACTCAAGGCTGCAATCCCCCCAGCTAATACCTTTTTTGGGTTACTGCGCATACCTAGTGGCTCAAATAAGGGTGAAGCTGTGATCGCAGGACACTGCACCATCAGGACATCAGACAGAGATGTGGGACTGTCCCAGCAAATCCAGACCAGTTGGTAGACTTGTGTGGGAATGCAAAACCCCACTTGAAGTGAACAAAATCTTGTCGGCACAGGCCCTAAAGTAGATGTAAACCCAGACACTAACATTGTATGAAATTTTTAAAATGTTAATGTTTTTTTCAAAAAATAATTTTTAATCCGTTCAAGTCTTTCATTTAAATAATATCTGCTTTGGGGAATGAGACACATACACAACAATTTTGAGGAAGTTGTTCATTTTGGAATTGTTCATTGATACGTTGCCGCCTTTAACCAAACAAAAGATCATACAAAGCATTGCACTGACTTTCTTGTGTATTACGGAATACTTTTACCGAAATACTTATCAGAATAATAACCTCTTGGTCCAACCTTAACTTCCTCCTGGAACATCTTCATGTGATTAAAGCTGTCCATACATGGATCGGAATTCAGATGGATCAGTAGGGGCGAGCCGAATCTCAATACATGTATGGGCACTGTGGTTGTACAGAAGTTGATCTACAGATCGACTTCAGTACAACCGCCTTGTTGGATTTTCCCCGCTCGATCAGCTTCACAGGTTATAGCCTGTGGCACTGATCCTTGCATTCTGATGGCAGAAACGTCTCCTTGCTGTTAGAATACAAACACACAGTGGGGAGGATTCCTCCATCCACAACAAGTATGTGGATGGGGGAATCAGGTCAGTTTTTTTTTCGTTCAACAAAATAAAAAATACTGACTAATGTATGGGCTGCCTTATGCAGGTTCTTGAGCTACTGGCCAACTGCCTCCAAGAAATCCTTTTGCTTACATTGGCCACAGAGGGCTAAAATTTCTAACGAAAAATTCTTAGGAAAAGAATGTTCTAAGTGTAGCACACCCTTGGGTGATGCTTAGCTAGATATATAGGTTCAGATCCCACCTGAATCTGGTGACACCTCCGATTATACCCAGAACACTTCGACACTTAAGAGGGGGGTGAGAGAGGAGAGAGTGAGGGTGATAGGGAGAGACAGAGAGGGAGGGAGAGGGAGGGGGGTGAGAGACAGAGAGAGGGGAAGAGAGAGAGTGAGGGAGGGGTGAGAGAGAGGGAGGGAAAGAAAGAGAGAGGGAGGGGGTGAGGAGGGGTGAGAGAGAGGGTGCGAGAGAGAGAGAGGAGGGGTGAAAGAGGGGGGTGAGAGAGAGGGGGGGAGGGTGTGAGGGAAAGAGAGAGGGAGAAAGGGAGAGGAGGGGAGAGGGAGGGAGGAGAGAGGGGAGAGAGAGAGGGGGAGAGGGGGAGAGAGGGAGAGAGAGAGAGGGGGGGAGAGGGGGTGAGAGACAGAGAGAGGGGAAGAGAGAGAGTGAGGAAGGGGGTGAAAGAGAGGGAGGGAAAGAAAGAGGGAGGGGGGTGAGGAGGTGTGAGAGAGAGGGGTGCGAGAGAGGGGGGGTGAGAGAGAAAGGAGGGGTGAAAGAGGGGTGGTGAGAGAGAGGGAGGGAGGGTGTGAGGGAGAGATAGAGGGAGGAAGAAAGGGAGAGGAGGGGGGAGGGAGAGAAAGGGAGAGGAGGGGGAGGGGAGAGAGGGAGGGAGAGAGAAAGGGAGAGGAGTGGGAGAGAGAGAGGGAGGGAGAGAGGGGGGTAAGGGAGGGTTTTAGTGGGGGTGAGAGAGAGTTGGGCATGTCTGCTACTCACAATTCTCCCAGGCTGCTGTCTTGTAGGCTCAGGCAATCAGGATGTAGAGCCGCTGCTGTGTTCTGTATATTTAAATCTGCTGCCTCTATAGCCACAGGAGTGGGGGAAGATCATCCTCCATCAACATACAGGATTATCTCTGGATCTTCCTAGCTGGGGACACAGTAGAAATAATGGGAGATCAGGGCTGCAGAGCCAGGGCAGTGATCCCGGTGGCTGGCAAGCGGAGGCGCAGGGCAGTGATCCCGGTGGCCGTAAGCGGAGGGGCGGGGCAGTGATCCCGGTGGCCAGGGAGGGGTGGGTGTCAGGGCAGGAGCCGAGGAACGG